TCTGGGGGAAAGTGCCCCGGGCACGAGTCCCGGAATTGTACTTTGTATCCCATAATTATACACCACAGATTATAATATATTGGTCATCTACAAGTCCTAAAAGTAACTCATACAAGCCCATTTGTAACACATCATCTATCTATCTATATATATAATCAAATAAACAAGATTGTAAGAACAGGAATAAGTTTGAAGATAAGAGAAAGTTAAGTGCAACCCATCATCAAAAGGAAAAGAATGATAAATCGAAAAAAAGGTTAAAGCCTCATATAATCAATTTTCCAATTTGTTTTTTATTCTATTGAAGTGAGATCCATTGATCATGTCTAATGATCAATCTTTCCACAATCTGATCTTCAATTTCAACTTGATCTCTACCTTCTGGATTAGTACCAACCACCGGAACCGAACTAAACTGAGGCAATCCAATCCTTTCAATCTGTCCATTCTTCATCACAAAGATAACTTGATGTTTACGTGTATGTAATTCGTTGGCTATCACTAATTGATGTCCATATCGTTCTAATGCTGCTTGAGCTTTAGGTATCAATAAGCTTTGATCTGTTTCAAGCTGGATAAGAAAAGGATTAAACCTTTTTTTTGGCACTTGATGGATGAAACCAAAAAAAAATACGAAAACGAAAACACACTTTGAAAGAGACTGTGTAGGCCTGATTGGTCCATTCTTGAGCAAGATCTTTCAATACTTTGGGTACTGCATCCATTTCGAGTACTAGTGATCCTTTTCCACTTTGAATCTTGTGTTCTGACTATTCATAGTACATCCAAAACAGAAACAGATCGGTATCCCAAAATCAAATAAGACCTCCAACCCACCGAAAGATTGTAAATGATCACTTACGAGTTTTTGTTCAGGTATGAAAAAGTCTGATACGGCTGCCGCCAAATAAAGTAAAGCAGAACGACCTAAACCCACCGAAGGCTCTCCCATCACTCTTGCCACCGATCTCAACAACCAAAGATATTCATTGACGGTGACAAAGGGAATAGTCAGAAGCAAGTTCTTCTCGCGTACGGTATGGTAAGCCCTCAGAACAGCCGCCAACGGAGCCATCTCGCTATCAGTCACACTGATGGTGGCCGGACCCGTAGGAAGGTCTAAGGGAGCTGGTGGTAAGGGACCAAAGAGTGGTTGACCAGGACTGGGGTCTGGACTAGTTTCGTGTGGTAGATGAAGTAGATCAAGAAATGGATGAGTCGAATGAGAATAACATCGACTGAAAGGTTGGAGTGAATGTGATCGGTATAGAAAGATCACGGCATATCGATTGCTACGAAGGAAATATTCTGCGGATGCTGAACCTCGAGTACCGGCCGAGAAATTGTCAAGGAATCTGACCCTGTTCAGTTGAAAGAAAGAGGAATGGATCAGTTTGACAATAAAAAGAATATTCAAGCAAAAGGTGACCAACACGTTATGTTCAAGTGGAACAGTTGTACCACCACTCTTGATGACCAGATTCAAAAGTCCATTGAACCGTTCGTAAGCCCATCAACCCAAGACCAAAAAACCAAACAAAAAACAAGACGGTAAGAAAAACCCAATAATGAAAAAGAATCGATGATTTGATTTTTGAGATTAATTCAGTTTTCAAGATGAATGAGGATTAGAATCAATTTACGGTGATCAAGACCACCCTACGATCTTCCTGAACATGATGTAAAACAAATTGCTTGACTCGATTGATTTCTTCCGATAAAGTGGGTGGAGGTGATTGAGTTTTGAAATAATGATCAGATGAAAATTCAGATGAACTTGATGGATTCATGATTAACGAAAAGAAATCGATTTGGTGGAGGAAAGACTCCAGAGTGAATTCGAGATATGCATCATTGCCGATCCGGAAATCCACGGGGCGCCATGACTCATCCCGCCCAAACCCTTGATATGATAGATCCGCAGGGTTTGAGAGGTGTGTACCGAGGTCCGACTGAGCCATTGAAATTTAGAGTTTGAGTCTTAAATCCTACTGGATCATACCTGTCGCCAATTGCCGCTCCTCAAAACCAACCAATCAACCAATCAACTTCATCAAACCAAATCAAATCAGAACAAGATGTCAATCCTATACGTTTGTATTGCCTATGGAACTAAAATCTTATCAGAATTCTCAATCGATAGTGCCCAAAACTTTTCAAAAGGTAAGTTTCACTCATCTAAACCCATCACGAACTTCAAAAGCTTAAGATGGGTTTTTACTATAGCTACTTCTACTATTCTTTCTAAAATCGAACCAAAAGATAACAAACTAACATATGCAGCTGAAAATTACCTTTTGTAAGTCATCTTTTAACAATCATCTGCTTACCCAAACTTAAATGACTCCTGTTAAAGTTAAACCTTTCCTGATCGTCTTATTCTTAGTCATTATGATAAAAAAGATGGAATAGTCTTCATGTGTATGGCAGAAGAATCCTTTGGAAGGAAGATCCCATTCACATTCCTAGCAGAACTTCAACGTAAAGTAAGTTTTCCGAAAAAAACCATCCTCAATCCGTCTAAACCTATCATGAATTGATGATTCTTTTTTGGTTAGTTTACCAGTACGTTTACTCGTCCAGAAATCACTTCAGCTCCTCCATACGGTCTAACGACCTTCAACGAGTACTTAACCAACCTAACCCAAACCTACAACCAAAGCTCAAGCGATCCGATTTCAAGTTCATCAAGTCAACCCATCAATAATGATCAAATTCATATTGCTCGAAACGAGCTATCAAACGTTAAAGAGATCATGATTAAGAATGTAGGAGAGATCTTGAGTCGAGGTGAACGGATCGAACTTTTATTAGACAAAACTGATAATCTTAGTGCTCAGTCTAATGCGTTTAGGAAACGTACTCAACAACTTAGAAGAAAGATGTGGTGGAAGAATACGAAGATGATTGCGCTTAGTGGGATGGTGGCTGTAGTACGTCAAGCTCCTTGCTTTTGAACATTCGTTTCCTTCTTTTTGGCTAATCTGTTTGGGTTTGGTTTGTTTGATGGCTGGGATAGTTGATTGTGTATATCTTAATGGCACAAACTTGTGGTGCTACTTTAACACATTGTACTTCATAATCCTAAACTCTTCGACTTCTTCTATGAATTCCTTTTTTCCGTTCAGTTTTGCTGTCTTTCTCATCGTACCTCTTTTTTTCCCTATTCTCTTTTTCTCTTCACCAAATCCCAAATGCAAATCTTATATTTATATCTTTTTTTTTCATCACTTTGATGAAGGAATTTTTTTTTCTCGATCTGAATATATATATCATTCATGTATCTTGTAACTTGATAGTTTACCTTTCTGAATGAAACTTGACTCGTATGACCAAAGTTTACAAAGATTGAAATGACAATACGTGTATTCTTCTGTCAACAAATCATTCCTCACAAGTCTTAAACTTTGACACTATAAAGTTTGGCGCCATACGAATGGTTTCTAAGATTAAATAGACTTTTACTAACTGGAAAAATGAAAGATTTGAGAGATTTTTAGAAATCTAAATAGATTACACAATTTTTCTTGATCAAACAAGTTTACAATTTTTAAAAGAAAGTTAATAAAGATTTTTAAATTTTAAGAAATACAAAAACCTTTAGAAAAGAGAACTTTTTTTAAGAGATTCCGAAATAGATTGTTTTTTTTTCTTTGGTGAAGATGAGAATACAAAGAATTTTATAAAATCAATGGGATAGTTTATGGAAGGGGTTTCTTATCTGATGAATGGAATATAAATTCCAGTACGAGATTTGTAGTCTAGATAATCTTTTCCAAAGAATTTGATTAAATGCATTTCTTCATCTATAAAACCAAAAAAAGAAAAAGATCAGTAAATTTTCAAATCAAAACCAAGTCAAAGAAAAAAAAAACAAAGATTCAGAAAGTGAGAAAGACTTACTTTGAATACGTTTATTGAAAAAGTTCCAAAGCACACCAAAGAAGAGGAAGAAACTACACCAATTTCTAAAATAAATCTGTAATCCAATCGACCAATAAAAAAAACCAAAGTAAGAAGGATGTCTAAGATAATTATAGATCCCATTAGTGATCAAAGTATGATCTTTATCAGGAGTTTTAGAAGTCGAAACTTTATGATTAAAAGATTGAGCAGCTGTGATCATTGAAAGCGTTCGAATCAATTGACAAAGAATGATGATGGTAATTGAGAAGATATCGAGGAGGTTTGAAGAACGCTTGTGATAGATGGTTTGCATGATTAGGTATTCGGTTATGCTGAATAGATGAGCTAACCAATATTCGATTCCATTATTAAGTAAGAATGCTAAACCAAACAAACCAACCAAAAGAATTAGTATTTCTGATTAAAAAAAGGTTTCTTTGATCGGATGTTTTTTGGGGCGGAAAGACTTACAGTTTACAGTGACTCTAGAATGATTCCAAATAGCAGTGACCATAAATTCGAAAAAATGAAACACGATCAAAACTAAACAATATAAATTAAGTTTATAATAATGATGAAACTGATGAGTTAATAAACACAAGATGTTCAAAGCCATTAGGTTTCCCATCATAAAACTTATGGCTGATACGTTTTGAATCGTATTATCAAATGAAGTTAATGGGAATGAGATTCTTGTTTCTGTTTCTTCTTCTGTTATTTTCTTTAATAGACTTTCTGGTTCTGGTTCTGAAGATGATGAAGATGATGATGAATCTGAATCTGACCACATTGGTGGGTTTCTTTCAAACTTGGTTAGTTTATTTGACATCTTTCCTTTCCTTGTTTGTTTTTGGTGAGGCGGGTTCCTTGGTTTTGTTGATAGAGATGAGGATCGAGATTCGAAGTATCGAGTTAGATATACCGATGATGATGCCGATTAAATATAAGTGAAATCAACAAGATAATAAGTTGATCAAATACCAATCAAAGTAATCATCTAAACCCTTTCAATTTCATTTTCTTAATCCGTAATCTTGATGTCTTTTGTTCTTTGTTTGTTCTGTTCTGTATTTCTATTTTCCTTTCCTTGTATGATAATCTGCTGTGCTGTATTTGTACTTGGATATGGTGGTAAATTGGTTTAAGTTTTCCTTTTTCGTTGCTGGTATATCGATCTCTATATTCCTCTTCAAAGGAAATCTTTGACATTCTTTGATAGTTTCGATTGCTAAAATTTAGGGTTTAAGATCAACCAATTCTAAGGGTTTATGACTTGAAGTTGAGAAAGTTGAGAATCGGGCCGGCATTGCGACAACATCCTCTCATCATTTGCCAATCAGGCCTCAGCAGACTCGAACACACAAACACGAGAATGAAAAGCTTACAAAATAAAAAGATTCCCAGTGTAATATGCTAATGTGTGAATGACTCATTCATAACTGATCCTTGATATCTTGCTGCTGGTCTGTCCAATTGACTAACAGGCCCAAAAAGTACTTCAAAAATTTGAATCAGCCCCACCATGGTATGACACTGATGATCTTTCACCAGGACGCTGTAACATTTAAATCGACCAATTGAAGCCATCCATTTGGTACGTAATTGACATTTTCAAGTAACCGCCTTATTTATGACTTGGAGAATTCAAGGAGCATCAAACAAAAAGAAATTGATTATTGATTATTTACAAAGTAAACTTGAAGTTGAACCATCAAAGTGCCGATCTGGCCAGCAGATAAAAACATTTATCGACAATTACAAATCAGTGTGGGGACTAAGTGCAAGATGAACACATATGATGATGGATGAAAACAACGGACAAGGATGGATGACTGCGAAATTGATATACATCGAGGAAGAGGCCACAAAAATACATTATTTACGACTTAGCAGGAAAATGAAGATTAAAGAGTCGAAGTTCTCATTGGGATCCTTTGCCATCCCTCCCGCCTCACCGTCTCCGTCGTCCCATCCCTCCCATCATGCCTCCCATTCCTTTCATCCCTCCTCCTCCTCCTTTCATTCCTCCGCCCCCTTTTTTCGCATCGCCGGCTGCACCACCGGCTGCAGCGTCTGCTCCACCTGCGACTCCCGCTTGAGCAGGCGTCTCTCCATTAAGGAATTTGGCGGAGTAGACGACGGCTTCTTTTTCGTATTGACTTCCAGGGTATTTGAGATGTGGTCCCATTGAACCTCCACAACAGATCATATCACCGGTCAAGCAAATATCTTGTGTCTTAGGACCGAAGGCAGGAGGAAGTTTGATTCCAGTCATCGCAGCGATACTTTTTCCGCTTTTCTGTTAGAATGAAAAGAGTTATGATTTGCAAAAAATCAGTATTATTGCTCAATGAATCTTTAATCCCTGATAAAATCACTCACAGCCGTTCCAGCATTCCATTGTTTTCCTGCTATCCAATAAGGATTTCCATAAAGGATAATAGACGAAACCGATTCTGCTGGGAATCCTTGTTTAGACAGCAATTGAGTAATGACCATTGCACCTTCTGAATATCCGATCAGAACCATCTTTTGCTCTGGACATTTTGTTTTCTGACCTGTAATATATTTCAGAGCGTCATTCGCACCTTGTTTAGGTCCGTTATTGTAATCTACTGTGGCTGGATAAACTACTTCGTAATTCGATCCTCCTGGTACTTGTTTCATTAAACCTTTTATAAATCCAGAGTAACCTGTTGGATTCTTTTGCTTTTCGCCTGTTCCTCTTGCACTACGATTTGGATAGATAGTTTTCAAAAATGCTATATCAGCAGGAATCTTGTGTGTAGTACGAATCAAAACTCGAAAATGAAACTAACCTGACGATTGCATATTTCCCACATCCCCCCGATGCCGTATCTCCAGTCGCACCACCAGCACCACCACCCATTTTCGGAGCACCTCCCGCACCGCCTGCGCCACCCATCTTGGGAAGTCCTCCCGCACCCATGTCTTCGCTGGGTGCACCTTTCTTGCCTGCACCACCCATCCCACCTCCCATCATTCGAGGTTGGAGGTCTCTAAGTGAAAGAGGTGAAGAAGTGGCCGAAATACTGGAGAGGTTGAATGACAAACATAGAAAAAGTAGGGTAGAGCGGATCGAGGACATGTTGGTTCTTAGGATGCCTTTGAGCTGATTTTGAGTAGGAAAATAATAATTAGAGCTTGCGATGTTAAAGACCTAATGTACGGTACAGGAAGAAGATTGAAGTGACTTGTGGCCTTAGAGTATTTTGTTTGATAAAGTGAGAACGAAAAAAAACACTTTGAAAGAATTATATATACTGAGGACAGAGACTGCACAGAGATGATAGACAAACAATGAACTATTGTCAATCGAGGATATAGAATAAATGCGATGAAACTGATATTCTTCAGAAAGATTCTCCTATATATAGGTTGTAAAATTATGAATCGGATCAAAAGAAGTTATAAAAGAAACTAAGAAAACTCAACCAAAGACGTGTTAATATGTTGGAAATTGAATGGGATGATTAGATATGAAATAAGAATTCAAGAAAAGTGATCATTCAAGGGGAGGAAAATTAAACAAAGTGGATCATTAGAGGTTTTCAGTTCAAAATCTAGGTACGATGTGTTGATTTGAAAGTGGTTAACATCATTCTCAGCTCAAATTATGAAAGCCTCCCTGCCTCGGATGATCCATATACTAATAAACACGTCGCGTAGACCCAGGCATTGAAAAATCTCAACGGTACCACGGCGTTCTAAGACTCATGCCATGTGTAAGATTATCCAGCTAAGACTGGTTTTGCCACGCTGCTTTTGTCAAACAACGACAGGATCGGAGAGTGGCAATATCAGTCTTCATGGCGGACGACAGGAGATGACGAGGAGAGCTGAGACGCACGGGTTCCTTTCGACTTGCGCGCTGATAGATCGTGTCTGTTCGTCTTCACCTGTCTTCACTCCTGTGGTATCTTTAACCTCTCTCCAATTGTATCCTTACCGTTAATTCTTTTCTTGTTGTGGTCAGATCATTTGCTTTAAACCTCTCATTGACAAAAAGGAATACGATGCGGAAATCCAAATAATACATTGACAATCCAAGTCAGTGGCAATCCCTAAAGATCCAAATCTCAGAGGTACAAGGATAATTGGTTTACCTCAGATGTATAGAAGCTCCAGCGGGCCTAAGTCTTCAAATATAACAGAAAAAAAACAGTCCACTAAAGGAACAGGTTACAGCCAGGAAATGTAGATTTGCCACTGTTTACATAAATTGCAGTCGACAGTGGTGTAAGACCGACGACTCCATTTTGAAAAGGTCATTCTGCAATCTGCAATTGTTGTGGATTTTGTCTTTTTCAAATTACGTCATCAATGTGAATTTTATAGAATTTTTAAGTCCAATATTTAGGGCTTAAGTTTAGAGACAACGGTTTATGACTTGAAGCTGAGAATTTGACTTGAGTGAATGCATGTAGACAAGCTCAGGAACCTTACGAATATCAACAAACCAATCAACAAGACACACAAAGACAAGAACACAAAAATGAGAAGTCGACCTAATAGCAAAGCACTCACTGCAATCTGCTCAATGGCCAATGCGTAAGTGATTCTTTCATACCTTATCCATAACCATCATCATCATCGCTCCTAATTCATCTGAGTTTCCTTGAAGGCTAACAGCAGGTTCTATGTTTACTTATCCAGTCTTTTCTCCTACCCTTCAATCTTCTTTAAACTTTTCAGTTAAACAAGTAAGTTTTATCCAATCAAAATTGATTTGTTACTTCTTATTATAATCACTCTAGACTGAGTTTGGTTCGTTCGTTTGGTTTGGTTTGTAAAGATTTCAGCTACTGCTTCGATTGCAATCTTATGTCAATATCTTTGTGCTGCTCTTTGGGGTATATTAGCAGACCGAAAAGGCTCAGCATTGTAAGTTTTCATTTGATAAAAACCTAACTGGTTGGTAACCTTTGATTGATCTCCATGAGTTTATCAATCTAGAGTTTCTTTGGCTGCAGGTTTATCCTTCTTCGTTGGTTATATCAGTTTATCTTTTTTGATTTCATTTTTCGAAAACGGTTCAGATTCTACTGCTTCATTTTTCATTTGGATCTCTGTTACTTTGGCTTATTCACTTTGTGGTAGTGCCACTAGTGCATCGTATGTCAAACTGACTCTTTGGCTTCTTTGATGATAGGCTCTTGATCTGATTGACGTTTTTCGGTTTGATTAGTTACTTTGCTGCTCTTACAGCTGCTACTCAAGTTTTTGGATCCGATCATCCTGGTCTTTCGATTGCAGGACCAGCTACTCTCTTTGGACTCAGCCCATTAGCTTTCACTTCGATCGGTACTTGGCTATTCAATCATGGAGACAATCAGTTTGACGCTTTGGCGTACTTACGCATGCTTGCTGGTGTAACATTAATGACCAACCTTGCGGGATGGTTCGGTTTTCCTGCACTCGATTCATCCATTGATGTTACTCCGGCTCAAGAAGATGAGAGCTCGCCCTTGATCAACCCAACAACTACACCTTCATCCTCTGATGAGACTGACGAACCCGATGAAAGACATAGTCAGAGGAGGGATAACAATCTTCGAACAAATACCCTACCTGATCATGATACTGTGATTGGATTCTTATCACAGTCCGCGGTTTGGATGTTGGGCTTCATTGTGCTTTTAACAGCAGGCCCTGCTGAAATGACAGTAGCATCGATAGGAGCAGTGGTAGATTCATTCGTACCTCTGGCACCTATCTCGCTTAAAGCACGCCACGTTCAAATTATTAGCCTTGCGAATGCGGTCTCAAGACTAGTGGTGGGATGGACTTCAGATCAACTTTGTAAAAATTCTCAACAACCTGCAAGAAGGAGGGTTGCCCTGATGGCTTTTGCACCTACACTTTATGTTCTTGTTTGTGCTTGGATCGGGCTGGGGGGTCAACAGTTATGGGTATTAAGTTTAACTACAGGAATCTGTTATGCAACCATCTTCAGTATGGCGTAAGTTTTGTTTGATGTATTTGAAACTTATTGAATTGTGTACTTACTCATCTTTTGATCCAATCAATCCCGGCTTGGACAGTCCAAGTATAATAGCAACTATCTGGCCTATCGAAGACTTTGGTCGAAACTATGGTATTATCTCATACTGTTAGCATTGATTTTTTTTTCTTGCAAACAAATCATCTTTACCTTTGAAGCTAAGGACTTACTCTTTTTTTGTTGGTCGGACATTCTTTAGTTTCAGCTACTGGTAGTTTCCTTTTCACTGGGTTTTTTGGAATTATGTTAAATGATCAAGAATCTTTGATTCATCAAGGAGATAGTGTTAGATTGATTTATGGGATATGTGGTTTGAGTGAGTTGGTGGCTTTGGCATTGACAGTTTGTCTTTACCGATCTAAACACTCGTTAAGAAAGACTTAGAAGGAACGCGGAGTGGTGTGTAGAAAGTTTCATTTTGAAGTTTAAAATTATATTTCTTTGGATCAGTCATAAGTTGTGATGTTGTGAGATAGGTTTGTTTTATTACTATTTGTGATATTCTTTCTTGGGCGCTTGGATAGATTATTCATTATGTAACTCTGTTGAGGAATGTGGTGTGAATTTCTGGCAATTGATGTGTGCTATGGTTGAATATCATCAATAACTGAGGAATTGGCAAAAAAGTCTGAAAAGACTACTCCTACATAATTCAACCTTTTGAGGATCCAAGCCTCAAGGGCGTTATCAAGATTATGAGATTGCTGGCTCTCTTTGTGTACTTTAAATGTAAAGTGAATGAACTTTTGTCCTCTGGTGATAATTAACATGAAACTAAAGGATTCAGACCAATTCTTTGATTGTGTCATGAGTTTTACAATTGTGTTTTAGGAGGTTTCACGACCTGGTCGAAAAGTTAAAGACACCTATGTATATGATGTTCTTGAGAAAATTGGAAGGCAGACCGAGGGGCGGGCAGGAGCTCCTTGAGCATTTCTTTCCATTGTTGTTATTGTTAGAGCAAACTTGGACCTTAGTATTAGGAACGCTGATATGAACAGCAGATAAGAAAGCGTGTCGACAATTAAAAATACATGTGGGGATTAGTGTAAAAAATATTACGATGAAAGCAATAGACAAGAATGATGACCGCGAATCGAAAGAGGCAACAAAGTATAGATGCGAGGAAGACAAAAGACGAGCCTTATACTACTGACAAAAAGTTGAGATGCGGAATTAGTATTGTGGTTATTTACACTTCTTCCCGCCTCACCGTCTCCGCCCCATGCCTCCCATTTTCATCCCTCCACCTTTCGCTCCTCCACCTTTCGCCCCCCCTGGTTTCGCCCCTCCGCCGCCGGGCCCTTTTTTGGGGGAGTCTGCTCCACCTGCTGCTGCTCCACCTCCTGCATCACCTGACGCGCCTGATTCGCCACCTGTCGAAGGACCACCTCCATTAAGCATTTTGGCGGAGTATGAGACTGCTTCTTTCTCGTATTGACTTCCAGGATATTTGAGATGTGGTCCCATTGAACCTCCACAACAGATCATATCACCAGTCAAGCAAATATCTTGTGTCTTAGGACCGAAGGCAGGAGGAAGCTTGATTCCAGTCATCGCGGCGATACTTTTTCCGCTTTTCTGTGAGGGTTAGAAGAGTTATTGGTTCAAAAAATCAGTATTGTTTCTCAATGATTTGCAATCCTGATAAGATCACTCACAGCAGTTCCGGCATTCCATTGTTTCCCTGCTATCCAATAAGGATTTCCATACAGGATGATTGAAGAGACGGACTCTGCTGGAAAACCTTGCTTGTTCAATAATTGAGTGATTACCATCGCACCCTCCGAGTATCCGATTAAGACTAACTTTGACGTAGGACATTTGCCCTTCCTATTTGTGATGTATTTCAACGCGTCATTTGCGCCTTGTTTAGGTCCGTTGTTGTAATCCACCGTGGCTGGATAAACGACTTCATAATTTGTTCCACCTGCCACCTGCTTCATGAGACCCTTTATGAAGCCAGCATATCCCGTAGGATTCTTCTGCTTTTCGCCTGTCCCTCTGGCACTACGCGTTGGATAGGAAGATTTCAAAAAAAAGGATGAATCAGTGATCCTGAGGATAGTACAAAGCAAAACTTGAACATGAAACTAACCTGACGATAGCATATTTCCCACAACCCCCGGCTCCCGCGTCTCCTCCCCCTCCAGCAGCACCAGCAGCACCAGCACCTCCGGAAGCTCCAGCACCTCCAGCACCACCGGGAGGTCCACCGCCCATTTTTGGAGGACCTCCCCCGGCACCACCCATCTTTGGAAGACCTCCTGCGCCCATGTCCTCGCTGGGACCTTTCTTGCCTGCGCCGCCCATACCACCACCCATCATTCGAGGTCGAAGATGTCGTAGTGAAAGGTGTGAACTAGTGGCCGAGATGCTGGATAGGTTGAATGTCAAACAAAAAAATAGTAGGGTACAGCGGATTGATGACATGCTGCTTCTTAGGATAGGATTGGAATCCCTTTGTCTGCTTTCGGGTAAAAATATAATAATTATTAGCTTGCGCTGTTAAAGACCTGTGTAGAATAAGATTGAAGGGAATTACTAGCTCACGGGAGTTTGTAAAGAAGTGAGAACGAAGGTATTACTTCGGAACAAATATAAATACTGACGTAGAGATTACGCAGCAATTATGGACAAGAAATGAAATCTTGTCAACCGAGGAGATAGAAAAGATGCGGTAAACTGATATTCTTCAACAAGATTCTTCTAAGCTGACGAATGATGAATTAGATCAAAATAAGTTGAATGATAAGAGAAACTAAGAAAACCGAACCATATAGGTGTTTAACACGTTGGAATGAGATGGTTAGATATGACAAGCAAGATGATCATTCCAGGCGAGGAAGCGTAAGCCAATTGGATGTAGAGGTTTTCAATTGAAAATCGATGTACAACTCGTTGATTTGAAAAGCGTTAACATGTTTCTCAGCTCAAATCATGATAGCCTCCCTGCATCAGATGATCCATACTGATAGACACGTCGCGTAGACCCAGGCAGTCCAAAATGTCAACGGTACCACGGCGTTTCAAAACTCACGCCAATTGTGACATTATTGTGATGACTGCCGTGTTAGAAGTATCTTTAGTAAGCTGGTCAGGATGAATCATTGGGGAATGTGATGGTGTTCGGTAACGATTCATAGGCGGGTTCTTTCGAATTGTTGTGACGTCACAAGCTGTTGACCGATATCATTTAGTTGAATCAGGGGTGGGATTTCTCAGTTTGTCTGTCCTTTTGGTCATTGAATCTTTTTGTCTCTGCTCTTTTAGCAATATGTAGTAGTACTATTTCTTATCTTCTGTTGTTCTCCAAAGGAAAACAAGAGACGCGCTCACTACCCTATATCAAGTTTCTTTCAAAGGTGCCTTCAAACTACACTACCGTCCAAACTTTGAGGGCGAATTTGTGTTCAAAACACGCCCAGTGAAAACAATTGGAAAACATAGCGCTTACTTACCGGTGACAAAAGTGGTTTGTAATCCTGATGTAAATTTTGAATGTTCATAGAATTTATGAGGGCATGGTCGCATCCACGTAAATAGGGAACATTCCCAGAAAAAGACTCCTTATGACCCCCTGGGAACATTCCTAAGTAAGTTTTGCACGCCTCTGGAATGGGTCTTGGGCTCTGGATATGTATCACGGTTTACGCATCAGCGCCCACTGAGGCTTGCTTTATTGACATGTTGAATCAAACATATAAAAGAAATTAGACACGAACTTGAGGCCAAAGAACTTGAGAAATGTGGAAGTTCTGAGGGTGGCCTCCACGTCTGACGTGTCTGACCCCTTTACAACAGATTTTTAATAAATGGAGAGAATTTTTTGATCAATGACAATATTAACATAGTTTGGGTGGGTTGGTGGTTGACAAATTGATTGAAATTTTTTCTTCTTTTTGTATAGACAGCAGAGTATTTTGATAATAAAAGCAAGATTAGAAAAATCTAAATTTGTTTATAATTTGATTTTTTGATAAGAGGGAAAAAGGGGATTTGATCTTCTAGGAAAATCATTTCCTTTACACTACCAGCATAAAGTAATTTTCCCAAGGAAAAATCGAATACATTTAGAGCAAAAAATGATTGAAAATGCATTTGATCAGCATTAAATCAGCATTAAATCAGCATTAAATCAGCATTATTCAGCATTAAATGAGCATTTTTGATTAAAAATGCATTAAATGTAATCATTGTTTCCTTGGGAAAATTACCTTTTGCTGGGAGTGTTATTCATCCTAGATCTCCATCCCTAGTAAGACATTTTGAAAAGAGACACTTATTTATCATGAGGTGCTATGTACTTTTTGTCTGATAGGAATGGATCTCTTTTGCATTACCCACCTACTATTATCCACAATCCTCTTCTTGGCCTATTCCCAATTGTCAATACTTGTACCAACTTTCAGAGAGTGTTGCAAACCTTTGCCTTGGACTGATTTCCATGTGTTTGACACAGTGGGATACCAAACTTCCGAGAAAATGCATCACCTTTCCAGCACCATAGTGATCCACTATGGGAAATGAACAATCAAATACATGAAATAAACAGTTAAAATGTGGTATAATTCACTGCTGCAATGGCGCTCATATGCAATAATAAACTGTACCAAAAACTTGTTTTCTCCAATTCCACAGAATGTTTAAGTAATCAAATAGCTCTAAGAATCTAGCCTGATTCAACAGAATTATGTGGCCTTTGAAAATCACCATTGTTGGGAAACCAACTACCCACGAATCATCCATATATGCATCCAACTCCTTAATACCAAATTTGTACAAAGCTATCCAAAGAATTAAAGAGAAAAATGAGCACCAAAAGAGAGAGGAGCTTGCACACCCAAAATTAATATGGTGGTCTGCGTGATATGGTTTGTCAATGAATATGACTTGGATATACTGCCACTGCCTTGTAACTGGTAAGATTTGAAAGGCGGAATCAACATATGATTTCTGTAGAGGGAATTTTTGCCACAACAGGAATGGGATGAAGGAAGCTATACTATCTAATCTCACTTTGATTTTATCACACTGAGTATGGCTATTTGGGGAAGGACTACCATAGCTCATAATAGTAATCAGGAGTTTGATTGGTAGCTAAACCCAAAGTCAATACCTTCATGCTGGGCAATAATAACTTGAAAGCAGGTGAATGGTGATTGGAAGCCACTTCTGTATCTCTTATTTTGTTGAGGACTGCTATATCTTCAAGGCTTGGTACATGGTTAGGATATTAGCCATCATGATGGAGGGTTTGTCAGACACAGGCCAGAGACCATCTGCAAGGCCAAGGATGACAGATTCCACAAAAGGACAATTGTGTTACAACTACACATGTAACCAGGCGTGACACACTTAGGAAGAGATGTCACAGAGGACACGTATTAGTATCTAGATCACAATGCTTGTACTTTCCTCTTTCTCCTCATCTGACAATCTACATAGAGGAACCAGGATACCACGTCTTCACACTCCGTCCCCAGATCCCCGTCCTGATCATAACATATTGTCAGATCTCAATAACACCGACGGACTGTCAAGGACCAGATCGAAATCCGAAACTCTGGATTAGAAACCGAAGATTGAAAAAATTGAAACTAGATTGATACCGATTATCCACAAGAACAATACACCAGATCTGATAACCTTAACTTTGTTTATTGAACCCTTCACCGAATTCACATTAGATTGAGAGAACTGAGAAGAAATTGATACCGACCTTTAGAATTGATCTGCTGCAAGACGAATACACTAGAATTAGGCAAAACTTTAAACCTTAGAATCACCACCGACTTACCACCGCATCCCTTCGACAAACTTCCACAACGTCTCCCACATTCAGCACCTCATCGTTCGACGACGTAGAAGACATTGACACCGAATCTGATACTGTTACGTCTGCTGTTACTGCCGAGTCTTCGAACGCGATGGAAGAAATTCAACGGCAACTCGCCGAACTGAGCACGTCCCTATCAGAGGAGAGACTCCTTCGCCAACAGGCTGAGCTCCGAAGCCAACAGGCCGAGGCTCGTATTGCCGCTATCGAGGCAGGAAGACAGCCGAACCCTGCGGCACCGGCGGCCTCGACTCCTATGTCACCGCTAGTTCCCCAACAGACCCCAAAGGGGCCTAAAGTCTCCACACCCGATAAGTTCAATGGAGTACGTGGTGGTCCCGCCGAGAGCTTTGCCAGTCAGGTACAATTGTACATGATGGCACACCCTTATCTCTTTCCTGACGACCGAAGCAAGGTCGTATTCACGTTATCCTACTTGACCGGCCCCGCGAGCAGTTGGGCACAACCGATGACCGAGGAACTTTTTAATCCTGAGACTGCCGAAAACGTCACTTTCCAACGTTTTATTGATAACTTCCGAGCTATGTACTTCGACACAGAGAAGAAATCCAAGGCAGAACGCGCCATACGGGCCTTGACTCAGAAAGGGACGGTCGCCGCCTACGCTCACGAGTTTAATCTTCACGCTCATAAAACCGGCTGGGAAGTTTCGACACTTGTTAGCCAATTCGAACAAGGATTGAAACGCGAGATACGTGTCGCGATGGTGATGGTGCAGGAGGCTTTCACTTCAGTAGAGCAGATTGCAAACCTCGCAATCAAACTTGATAATAAACTGCACGGTGTGCCAGATGTCTCAACCCGATCAACTGCTCCTTCTGTCGACCCCAACGCTATGGATATATCGGCTACTTACACCAGGCTCTCAGATGATGAACGTGCGAGACGTCTTCGGTCCGGTTCTTGCTTCAATTGCGGCACGCAGGGCCATATCGCGACCAGATGCCCAGACCGACGAGCTAGCAAACCTTTCAAGGGGAGATCAGGAGTTGGTAACTTTAGGACTCGCATATCAGAATTAGAGGCTCAGTTGGCAGTAATGAGAGGTGGTAGCAGTAATCAGATTGAAGAGAGAGGGAGCTCAAACTCAGGTGTTAATCGTGCTAATGACTCAAAAAATGGCGCAGCTCAGGAATGAAGGTCGTGCCTATCCTGAGCGCTGATGGGAAAGAAGATGTGATAGAGTTAGGTTCTAGTAGAATATTATCTTGCAATGAAAATGATCCTCGACTATTTTTTCATACCTCTCTATCCATATTCCCCAATCCCCGAGCCACACCACCTAAGACCCTAGAAGCCTTGTTCCTCATTGATTCCGGCGCGACGCACAATGTGCTGGGTGAGAACTTTGCCACTCGACATGGCCTGATGGGCCATGCCACCCACTCAAGCCGTGAAGTCACAGGATTCGACGGATCCAAAAGCCAGTCATCCTACGAGATTCCCATTCAACTCGATCAAGCACCACATGCGGGCACCTTCATCATCACAAGACTCAAAGACAACTACGATGGCATCTTAGGGATGCCCTGGATACAAGAACACGGCTCGACTATTGATTGGCGACGCCGCA